CCCGCGGGCTCAGGCAATCCACTCACCTCAGTCTCCCAAAGGTGCGGGATTACAGGCTGAGCCACCGAGCCCGGCTAGACTGATTCTTAACAACGAATCAGGTTCCTCCATGCTGACCTGGTCAGATCACAAAGGATTTCATGATCAGTCCTGGCTGTCACAGGCAGGATCAGTCTAGAGCATATTCAGGGGAGACAGGAGACTAGAAACTCCACTATTTGAGAGAATTGGGTATACTTAGTCCGGAAAAGAGAAGACTAGAGGGCTGGCGGAAAATTGTTCCAAGTGGCCTTAATTAAAGTTGAGATGACAAGGAAATCTATTTTGGCTCAAAAAGGAAGACCTTTTTAGCTTGTGGAGGTGAGCCAGGATGGTGTGGCCCCTGAAGGTTCAGATGTAGGCTACTGTTGGAGGGGTAATGTAGGAGTGGTCAGTGTCTGGGCCCAATGATTGTCACAGTGAATTGTCTGGTGAGACCCTCCCCCTTGGTTGAGTGAGTTGTTCTTGGTGTACCTACACACTTGTGTCTGTGCTCCCCAGCCTTGCTTCCTGTGGTTTTTGCTGCTTATTGTTCTTTGCTTGGCATCTACGACTTGCCTTATGCTTAACAAATCTTTGGTTACTAAGTATTCCAATTCGTTTGATTTTCACACTTGGAGCAGTTGCAAGAAGTATGAACGTCTTGTCTTTGCATGGAATCTGTATCGTGCACCTTCTTCGCTTCCTTCATTTTAAACCGTGTCAGATCCTTCCATCACCTTGGACACATACACATGGCAGATGAGTGGAAGTGGTGGATATAGAACACACAGGCAAGTGCCATGCTGGGAAAGCGATGTTCCAACGTCCCGGATAAAGAGGCTCAGATGGTTATACCTGGTGCAAAGGAGAGTATTTCCCAAGGACACTGCAAGGAGGAAGACAATTTGAAGGACAGTTCATGGATACATACTCTGTTCTCCAAGTTGGTATTCTCTCTCATCCCTTCGTCCCATGCCAATGTCTTACCCACCAGCACGAAGAACAGAACATCTGAATACTCACTACTGAGAGACCCACAGCACCATTTCCACCAGGCACTTAAGGCTGTGGATAGCTGGTAAACATCTGGAGTTTGATTCTTTTAATCAGCATCCTCATTTAAACCCTACCCTTTTGCGGTCTACTTAGGATGGTTACAATTACTTGGCTCTCTTCATTTCCTGGCTCAAAGTAGGTGCTCAATAAAATGTGTTCCATGCACAAACCCTAAGAGCTGCTTTCTGAGTTCAGGTTACCATCACCTCTGCCCGGGACTCCCACGGGCCTCTCAAGCTGCCTTTCTGTCCTTTTCTCCAGTCAGTTCTCCAGAATGCTGGCTGGAAGGGTCTTCTTAACATGTTCAACATTTTTTTTCCAGGCTCTTTACCATGGCAACCATGACCCTTCATGATCTGATGCCTACCTAGCCTCTGCTCTTGGTCCTCCCCAGCCATTCACCATCCAGCTACAGTGCCACAGGCTCTTCTTCTTGCCACCATCCAGCCTGGGCCAGATAGCCCCTCCTGGTTCATATCACCTCTCTATCGTCTTCCCACACCCTGGACTGAAGCAAGCGCCTCCTAACCTGTTTCCATGGCACTCTACCCCCTGCCCCTGTAGTGGCGCCTGAGATGTACTGAGGTTGCCATCTCGTTCACTAGATCGGAACCTCCTTGAGACAGGTAACACATATTCATTTCGGTCCAGTGTCTGCTCAACAGCCGGGGCTTACTGAATGTGTTTTTTTGTTTTTGTTTTAGAAAGCAGGATTTATTGAGAGGATAGAAAAGCTCCCAGAGCAGGAAGGGACCCGAGGGGGTGGCCCAATCAGGCCCGTTTTATCAGACTCCATCGGTCTTTCCTAAGGGACATAGCACAGACATGTGGCGTGGGCAGGAGGTGAGTTGAGAGAACAGTTCATGTCATTTGCTCCGCCATTAACAAAACATACGACCTTAGAGGAGGATACAGTGGATAATTAAAATTCTAAAAGTCTGCCAAAGTAGGACATAGAATAACTGGTAATTTTAATTACTTTAAGTTCCTCATGTTATCTTTGCTTTTATAACATCCTATTATTCACATGTATAACTTAATCAAGATTTAATTTCTACTTATGAAAATATTCCTATAAAAATGACAGCTGATCTACTTCCATAGATTTAAAATGTGGTTAAAATGCAGAAACTGGGTATTGTAAAGCTTATGCATCCTGACCATGGGAAAAAAGCAAAGGACTTTGGGGCCTGAAAGGTCTAAATTTGAATGCTGTGTCGTCTACTTATGAGTTGCGTGGTATGGGAGCCCTGCCCTGAATGGTTGTAAATGTTAAAGTGCGACAAATGCCCTGTATTGCCCTCGGCACACAGGACAGAAATGTCACTTCTCTCCCCAGCACAGTTTTAGGGAGATCTGGAAACATGAAGATTTCCTTAAGAAATTATTTTTTAGGCTGGGATCCATGGCCCAGCCTGTAATCCCAGCACTTTGGGAGGCCGAGGCGAGTGGACTGCTTGAGCCCGTGGGTTCGAGACCAGCCCGGGAAACTTGGTGAGACCTTGTCTCTACAATAAATAATTAGTCCGGCGTGGTAGCTTGCACCTGCAGTTCCAGCTACTTGGAAGACTGAGGTGGAAGGGTCGCTGGAGCCCAGCAGGTCGACACTGGGATGGCCATGAGTGTGCCACTGCTCTCCAGTCTGAGCGACGGAGTGAGAGCGATGGAGTGAGACTCCAAATCAAAAAAAAAAATTTTTTTCTTTCACTTTTGAAATAAAAGACAGGCATATTAGTTCCTTAACTCAGTTTTACTCTGATGAAGGAGCAACAGATAATTCTTTAGGCAACATAAGAACATCACATTTAGAAAAATGTAATTTTGTGTAATTAATATGTGTACATATTCTCTTTGGTATCTTTTAAAGGAAATAAAATTATATTTAAAAGTATTAAGGACATAAGAAACAAATCAACAACTATAATACCTCAATGAATCCTGAAAATTTATTATTTGGGAGAATGTCCAATATTGATCCTTTGTTTTACAGCTCATGATAATCAGAAAATATACATTTGAAATGAGAGTCAAAGAAAAGAATAATTACATAATACATATTACAGATTATTTATACATAAGCAAAGCAGTACTAAAAGCATATTTTTGTGTCCACAACGAGTGAACATGGCAATTTTCTGTTTAAAGCTGCAGCAACTCAACTCCTCCTAGGGGCATAAAGAAAGATGGATTGAGAAAGAGATTTAGGGCTATGACCAGATCTGGCTGTAAACCTATTTTTTAATCTTTCCCCTCCCCCCATATATATATGTATATATTTTATTGCCTTTATAGTTCTGCTGGTTTAATATAATTAGTATACTAAATAGTTTTCTGCATTTATTTGGTTTCTAAAAATATATAAAATGCATTGGAAAGAGCTCCTGCAGCTTTCAGGCAGTCACTGTCCTGGCATCAAAAGCTTATTCTGGAAACAGAAAGCAGCAATATTGAATAAATAGTGATTGTTTCGTCTTTTTGATACAGCTGATGGCCTTCACCCGAAACTTAACAATACTGTAGCAGATAGTACAAACATGCAACTTTAAAAAAAATGAACATAATATAAAAGTAATACTTATGAACTAATTTTTATCACAGTCTAGACCCATAAAGACAACGTTAGGTAGAAGAGGGACGTGAACACAGCATTGCTATCTACATATTAAGGCCCAATTTTTCAAAGGCAACGCACAAGAGGAACTGTCCATCTGCCCACATCCCTTGTATGCCTGAAATCAAGAGTTTTTGCCTTTTCCATATTATTTCTTCAACTTCATTACCATTCTAACTTGGAAAGATGTTCACAGAAGTGGTTTTAAATGAACAGCTCTTTTTTCTAAGGACTGTTTTGCTCTTATTCACAAAGAAAAGTATCTTTTAATGCAGGTCTAAATTTTATCTATGCCACGGAAGGTGTTCTTTTTATTCAGTGCTTATACTTCACATTTCACTCCATAACTTCTATTTTAATCCCGATTATATATTTTTACTCTATCAGTATTCTAGTTCTTGTTTATGACCAATTTGAACCATAGGAGTTGATGATTAGCTCAGTGATGTTTGGGGAAACTAAATGGGGAAATCCTATTCATACCAACTGAAGTTTCACATATAAAAAATTCCCTGCACATTAAGACAAAAAAACTAAATGTTAAAAAAACAAAATATCAGCTGGGTTCGGTGGCTCAGCCTGTGATCCTGCGCCTTGGGAGGCTGAGGTGAGTGGATTGCCTGAGCCCGTGGGTTCGAGACCCGCCTGGGCAACTTGGCGAGACCTCATCTCTACAATAAATCAAAAAATGAGCCGGGCGTGGTAGCACGTGCCTATAGTTCCAGCTACTCGGAAGGCTGAGGTGGAAGGATCGCCGGAGCTCAGCAGGTCGAGGCTGTGGTAGCCAGGAGCAGCCACTGCACTCCAGTCTGGGCGACAGAGTGAGACTCCAACTCAAAAAAAAAAAAAGATTGTCAATCTTCCAATTACTTGTTTCATTTCCATAAGCAATTGTTAGCTAGGCAACCCTAGATTTGTATACCATTGCCTCCTCCCCCCTCTGAAATATGTCCAAGATGTGGCACTTATCTCATACATATTCACAATAGATAAAAATGATCACAAAAAGACTAAAATATCTTAAAATGTTCCTATGGAAATGGGTGTTGTTCTTCTAAGTTTCAGAAAATATTCCTTAGATATGTGCTTCCGGAAGTAATATATCTGATTAAAAAGTACAATCGCTCAATGTAGTAATCATTTTCATTTATTTACTCTTCCCACCTAGAAAACAGTATTCTATCTGTGTTAGGTCCATGAAGATTATTTGGCAGCCTGAAAATTCTGATGCAGTTGTCAGAGAGGTTAACTATGTGATGCTATCCTGGGAAACTTGGGCCTACAAGCAACAAGGATGCTGCCTGTCTTTCTTTAAAGTTATTAGGTTACTTCTGATAATAATTTACAATAATTAAGTTGGATAGTGATTGTGTTTTCCATGGTCTGTCAAGGCATCTTTGCAATTTCTAATTCCAAAGTATACTATTACTTACAGTTTTAACATTTTGATTTAAATAAAATGTGATCAATTTATAAAATGTTTTTCTTTGTGAATAAGGTCTCGATTTATCTGAACAATAAAATGAGCTAGTATAGCATAGGACTCTTCAAAAATAAGGCATAGATTGGGCACACATAAATCATCATTGTCCCAAAAACTACAAATTAAATTTTTAATCATCCTAATTTTAAAATTTACATAGATATAAAATAACTACAAATTGAGAGCAAATGTGTATAGGTTGTGGTTATTCAGGTAAGAATCATTTACTTCTTCAGTTATTTGCAAAATAGTATAATGGCAAGCTCAATTTGATCTCTAAGAAACCAAAGAAAATATCTTTGGTTGAGGTCTGCCACTTAGCTGTACTAATAGAAAAGGCAACTCTGCATTATTACTTTCAGTTTTCTAGAAGCTTCTATATATTTTCATAGCCATTCTTAAAATTTTCATAAGAAATCTAAGTAAAGCAGCATTCTCAGCATTCATTAAACCAAAAATAAGTCAAGTGTGCTAAACATTCAAAGTTGCCTTCATGCATAAGACATATCTTTTATTGTTACCATGGCATTACTATATTAATCCATTTTTACTTTGTTGCATGTAAATAATACAGAGAATGTATTTTCTTCAAAATAAAAAACTACTTTAAATTTTAGATTAAAGTCTTAATTATACTGTACCAAATTTGACCAGTGGGAATGTAAAAATGGCTAAGTGGTATCTGACTGCATCTGTCTAAATACTACTTGTAAATCACTACTTATGGGAGTGGTGTTGACTCATTTTTTGTTTTATAAGTAAAACAACATATATACAAATGGAGATTAATGTCTTGTAAAAGTTAAGCTTCAAAATAAAACCATATACTGAATTTGACTTTATTTCCTTGGTAAAAAGAAACTAATTCCAATCTACTTTCCCTCTAAGTACCTGGAGAAATCACAAAAGTCTGTAATATTCAGAGTAAATTATGTGCAAGCAATAACTTACTCATGGGTGCATATACCAACAGACCATATGCATATGAAGTGGGTTATTTTACAATCTATCACCTAAAGCAACATTCCTGAAGTAGGCCCACCTGGTCCTCAGATACCTGTAACTCATATATTAGATCAATTCTGAGGATCTGTGAGTATAAATGATAAGGGAAGGCAGAAACAAAACACTTAATGTATCAGAAAAGCCCATGCCTGTTTGGATAGAGAGTCAGCAACTACAGTTTTGTTCAACAGTATCTGAAACACTGCAAACCTTTTACACATAAAATTAACCTCATGAAAAATATCTGTTATGTTATGTGGCCACTCATGTATTTGGAAATATGGTAAAGATTAAATTACACATTTTGAAAAAACAGAAATTATTTCACCTAGTTAAATAATGGCTAGAACAGCTTCACAAAATAAATGCAAGAGGGCTCTTATGGAGTCAGTTGTGATGGTGGAGCACCCTATCACACCTGCACAGAGTAAGTCGGCAATGCACGGCTAGAATCTGGCAACATGCACACAGAGTCATAATCACACACTATGTAATGTAATCACAGGATAAGTATAACAAAAATATTAAAACATCAACATTCACACATTAATTGGTTACATGAAATAAATTAAACTAAGCCAGTCACAAAGTTCTCTTCACTCTTAAGTCATAGTTTATTTATGTATGCACACAATATAATACTTTCCTAATGTACTTAAAATGCTACAAATAAAAATGAAGGCTTTGCATTACAGCTGCTGGACAAAAAAATCAACACTGTTGATGTGTGAAAACACAGTTTCTTTGTTCTTTAGCATCAGTGCACAGGGTATGGCTCCAAGTGGTATGCGATTTAGGAGAGAAAAAAGATTCAAAAGATCAGCGGCTTGTGGAACAGATCCTCTGTTCATCATTGGCACAAATCAAAGAAGAAAGTCGACTGTCCTTGGTACCTTTGTTGGGTCTCCCCGCTACAGACAGATAATGTCATACATAGATGCCTTCAGGATTAAAACCGGATGAGATAGGATTCTGAAGAATACGGAGATTACTGGGGAGCTGCCGAGAAGAACCGGGTCGCTTCAGGGACCCAGATTGGAATGGTGCCTCTAAACAGGAAACAAAGAAAGTCACTCAACGTGCTCATCAAGCTAGAGCACTTAGCAATATAACAAATTAGCAGGCTTTCTGCTCTAAAGAATCTCAAAGGGAGAACTGCCTGGAGCAACAATGCAACACCCAGTGGGCTCCGTGCTGAAAAGGCTAAGCCTCCCTCAGATGGAAGTCCAAGTGATAAATCCATTTTCTGTGATTTGAACAGTGAATGATCTTAGTCAAAGGAGCATTTTGCTTCTCTTTTTTGGTTGTTCGCACCAAATGTGTACACAGATTTAGAACTTTTAAATATCCGCAAAAATTAATAATAAAGACTTTTAGAAGAGGAAGAAGAGACATTAGCAACAGAAAGAAGCTAAAATGCAAATTAACAGACTATGACTCATATATACTTCCAGAAAGATTTTATAAAACTAATCATATGAAATTTAGTGAATCCAGGCTCACCTAATAAATAAAATGTTATTATTGATTTTGCCTAGAAACAGGAAGTATGTAAAAAAAGTGGCCCACTTAAAAATTAGTCATGAATTTAACTGAATGTAAGCAGTTCAGTTAAAGTTAACCAGTGAGAATAAAGGGGGGAAAAACGGTATTTATCGACATCTTACCTCTTTCTATGTCTGCAGGTGAGGCCTCTACTTCAATGGGCTCGGCTGGCAAAACCGTAACTTTTGTCCCTGTCTGCTGAATAAACTGCTGGAGATTGACTTGCCGCAGCTCTTTAGTCAACTGCTCCAGTTCCTGTTCTTTATCCTAGATGGAAATTATCATTATTTTTTTAATTTGAGAATTCACTATTGACCAGTTCCAGACATCCATCTGCTAGAAGGGTTAAATTTGGGATACTTGCTTTGAGCACATTTAACAAATCTGGTTTATATTGCTACAATTAGCTAAAGAGGTCATTGACATGCTGTGGCATGGGCCAAAAAACCAGCAAAAGAAAGACAATGCCTTCTTCAGTCTGTCCCTTAACTATGATGTTTTCTTCTGGAACCTGATTAAATAAACAAGCTTGTTAACTTTCATTTAAAAATATGGGTTTCCATCCATCCTGGAGTTACAGCAATATTGCTAAACTGGTCACAAATATCCCTATCAATTGCTCCTATAACTGGCTTCAAATCGTGCTTTGATCCATGAAATTTAGAGTTTTTATTTTTTGTATGCTATTTACACTTTCATGGGATATATGATTAAGATTTACCTTATAGTACATGGCAAGAAAGATCCACACAAGATTCTCACTATGGGATTCTTGAATTCTTGACAAAGACAAATCTTAGAATAGAGTCCTATAGAAGGAGATAAAGCCTGGACAGATGGAAAGCTCCAAAAGCAAGGGGAGGTCCTCTGCCACGTAACAGTGTTTCACCTGTTTCCTCCACTGCACCATAAGAAAAAGTGCTCTAGCCGGGCTTGGTGGCTCAGCCTGTAATCCTGCACCTTTGGGAGGCTGAGGTGAGTGGATTGCCTGAGCCCGCGGGTTCGAGACCTGCCTGGGCAGCGAGACCTCATCTCTACAATAAATCAAAAAATCAGCCGGGCGTGGTAGCGCATGCCTGTAATTCCAGCTACTTGGAAGGCTGAGGCAGAAGGAACACGGGAGCCCAGCAGGTGAGGCTGCGGTGGCTGGGAGCGGCCACTGCACTCCAGTCTGGGCGACTGAGTGAGACTCCAACTAAAAAAAAAAAAGTGCTCGGTCCACCTATGCTGGGTGGGCCACAAGGATCTGGTAGGGGTTAGGAAGAGATATTAGAAGTGAGTGGCTGTTTTCTCCACTTACTTTGGGTATAGGGAGTACTTGGTGATATGTTAGTAATTTGGTTATTAGGCCTTTTCCAATATGTAGTAAGATGTATTAGTATGACTGTCAAAAGTTTGTGGTTTCCTGGAAGTACCATCAAAGCAAAACAACTTCCCCTTGCATCCTTTTAAAAGTGTCAAAATGAATCCAAATAGTAAAATACTGATAAATCAGAGTCTGACAACCTTCCACTGCACGAGAAATTACTGATTTTCAAAATTTGTTGGTAGTTTTACCTCTCACTACAGTTAGTGACAAAGAAAGGAAATCACTTCAGTTCTTTTCTAACACTTGAGCTTTCTCTAATTGTTGAACTGTTCATATTCTAAAGCAGCTCTTTTCAAGCCCCAATGTGCACAGGTACTGCGTGGGGATCTTGTCACAAGGTAGAATCTAAATTTCCAACAAGTGTGCCCTGGAGCTGCCTGGTGCAGCCCACACTGTGAACAGATTCTAAAGCAGCACAGTCCAGCAGAACTTCCTCCAATAATGGAAATGCTCCATATTTGCACTGTCCAATACAGTAGCCACATGTGTTAATGAGCACTTGAATGTGACTAAGTGTGACTGAAAACAAAATTTTTAATTTATTTAATGTTTTAAACTGCCTTATTGCATATTATTTAATTTTAATTACTTTAAATTTAAATAGCAATATTATTATTATTATTTTGAGTCAGGGTCTCACTCTGTCACCCAGGATGGTGTGCGGTGGCATGATTATGACTCACCATAGCCTCCATCTTCTGGGCACAGGCGATTCCTCCACCTCAGCCACCCAAGTAGCTGGGACTACAGGCACACACCACCACACTTGGTTAATTTTAATTTTTTTATAGAGATGAGGTCTTGCTATGTTGTCCAGGCTGGTCTCAGACTCCTGGGCTCAAGCAATCCTCTGGCCTAGGCCTCCCCAAAGTGCTAGGATTACATGCATAAACTACCGGGCCGGGCCTAAATAGCCATATTATAATCAACTGTGTCTCTTCCTCATCTGTTAGAGTCTGTTTGATACGACCTTGCAACTCCCACAACATAATCTTTTCAAAGCACTGATATCCAAGATAAAGTGAGTGACTAGGGTCAAGTGGTAAACTATACACATTCTTGTATACAAACCAGAGGGGGGGAAACTGGAGAGGAATCTCTGTGCCCTTCTCATCAGGAAGGCAAAGAAGGGTACTGTGGAGAGGTGAGGAGCGATGGGGACTACCGACATCGCAAGAAAGAAGAGGGGGCTGTTTGCAAAATAGAGAAATGATAAATAAGCAGTAAACTAGCCACAACAATCCTTGGCAACCAATTTGTGTTTCTCTCTTTTGGCTTCGGTTTCCCTGTCTCTACAAGGAGAAGGTCAGACTCACTACCAAGAGACTCATCATCAGTGTCGATTCTAGCTCTGAGATTCCACTCTCCTGTATCCAATTACGGAATGCTGTAACTGCCACAGTGAAGGCTCTTCCGTGGGGCAAGAATCAGTGTGGCTTTTGCTCACATTTTTGTTCTGGTCTCACATCTAAGCTTTGTCGTAAGTCACACGAATTCTACAAAACCTTTAAACAAGTCTGGGTTTCTAATTCTTTAAGCATAAGGGAAAATGGGCAATCATGAAAGAAGACTCCCAAAATATATTAATTCTTTTAAATAGGTGAAACACTCTATTTATAAAAATGTTCTTACCTGTAATCGTTTGGTGGCTTGTCCGAGCGATCTTTCCACAGCTTTAATGCCGTTTTCCAATCTCAGAGTCCGTTGGCCTTGAAGGTCAATCTCCCCTCTGACTTTACCTATCTTTCCTTTAACCTCTTCCTCATTGATCTGTGCCTCCTGAACTTCCCGTTGCAATTTTTCGGCTTCAAGACCACTCTCCATAGTCTGGATTTGGGCCAAATAGTCCTTTAGTTTGCTTTCACATTCTGTGATCTTCTGTCTTATTTCTTGAAGTTGATCCTTCAGCTGTTTTTCATTTTCCTGTTCAATCTGTAATTCATTTTCCCAAAATTCCTCCTCTTCAATTTCTACATCATTTCTTTTGATCTTTTGCTCTAGGCGGACAATTTCCTCTTCAAGGTTAGAGTTATATTTTTGCTCCCAAAATCGTATTTCTATTTCATTAGATTCCAACTGTTTCTCAAGGGATTGAAGCTTTTCTGTCTGCAGACGGATCAGCTTCTTCAACTCATCTGCTGTTGTTTTGCAGTTATTCAGCACCTTTTGCTTAAACTCAGTTTCTTTGCCTTTTCCAAAAATGTCCATTAATCCTTTGGCACCTCCTGTGAATGTTAATGATTTCCTTTTAGGCTCTCTCCTTTTGATTGATTTGTCAATCTGAGGCCTCAGCTTGGCTAAGGGGGGCAGACTCTGCCTATATAAAGTTCTTTCAGGAATTCGAGCCACACTATCTGAAGTAGGCCGCTCGCTGAGAGATGGCCCAGTACGCCGTAGAATGAGCTGCACATCGCTAGCATACTGCCCCCATTTGTTTAAGGATATAATAGGATTTTCATGAGGTGCTAAGTGTCTTTCAGTATCTCTCCATTTTTCTATAAGGGTGTACCTTCCAGTTCGACCTAGGTTTTAAAAAAAAGGTAATAAACTGTCAAAATGGGATGTGTCATAGCTAAATAGTGCAACAGAGGACTCCATTTAGTAACTGTGTATTCTTGAACAGCGCCAAAGTATCAAGTTGTAGAGTCCTGTCCATGTTGCCTTTAAAACCATCACTTGAAAATACCAAGCCCCTCGAGAGATGTAACAGCACATGAAGATGTACACCACATACACTCTTCAGACTTGCTTAGAAATTCAACTTTATACTTTAAACCTGGGTGAAACTCCTCTCTAGTCAAATGCCTGATTGCCTAAAACTTCTTATTTGAGGTAAAATTGAAGAAAGTTTGCTTTCCAGCTGAAATAAAGGACACTAGAATTCCCATTGGACACCACAGGGCAGGGGACTGATCCCGGGAGATAGGCAGAAAATTCAGAACTTGAATAAACCTCCACCGGGCAAATCCCTCTGTTCTCTTTCCACATCAGGATGTGGGAAGGCTGGAGGCCCATTTCCCCTTCTGAACGGCAACATGGAGCCAGTGGAGAACTGCTACCCAGCTACTAGACAGCGGCTTAGGTCTCTGTCTTCCATGAGGACTGGAACTCCTCCCTCCCACCCCCCCACCACCACATCCCCACCCACTTCCTCCTCAGGTCACCATTCCTTGCTCTACGCACCACTTCCATTTGGCTGTTCCTAAGCTGTATCTTTTACAACTACTAGTTTATAATAATAGACTGGTAAAAGTAACGAATGCCCTTTCCTGAGTTCTGTGAGTCATTCTAGTATGTTATCAAACCTAAGGATAGGGTTTTGGGAATGCTCAATTTATAGCTGGTTGGCTGGCCCTAAACTTGCCACTGATGTCTAGGGTGGAGGCAGTCTTATAGGACTGAGGTCTTTGACTTTTGGGAAATGATACTAACTCCAGGCAGACAGTTTCAGAAATGAATTGAACTGTCAGACTACCAGTTGGTGCAAGAAGTATTATGAGTAAAAAACAACTCAAGTGCTTACTCCATTCTAGACACAGTTTTAAACTATGGGAATAAGCGATAATAAAACAGTGTAGACAATACACAAATAAATAAATGTATGTCTATTTTCTATTATACAACAAAGGCACATGTGCGAAAATCCGTAATTTTTTAGATTTTAGAAAGGTAGCATGGTGCTGTCTGTAGGTTTTGTAATCAAGCACTTAAAAATTTCTAAACAATTATCATAATACTGTAAGAAAGGGTTTGGCAGTAGTGGGAAACTGCTGCGGGTGGGGGAGGGGGCATACTTCATCAATATGTGTACCTGATCTCAAACCAGGTGAAGTGGAGGCCAGAGTGAGGCTCAAATTTTACCTGTACAATGACCATTTGTATACCCAACCCTGAATTGTACCCATCTTTAAAACAAAAATTTTGAAAATAATAATAAAAGATCATGGAGTTAAAAAAATAAAAAATAATTTCTATAGTAAAATGTAGCAATGTTCATACTGGATGGGATAAATATAGACTAAAACAGTCTCACATCAAATCAGGTCAATTTTTACCACCAAGTGAGTTCACGCCATGCCAGGTATTGCTAACAAATGAAGTATGATAAATTTCAGGGATTGTGGTCCACAGGTGACATGTCAGGTAGGGGGCAAGTGCTATGTAAAAAGCAAAGAGACAGGGCACATGTGAGGTGTGTGCATGCGTATGTGTGTAAGAACATGACTGTCAGAGAGGGGCTCTGTGATAAGATTACTATTGTGCCAATCCAAGGAAGTGAATCACAAAGATATCTGGTTGCAGCGTGTTATGAGAAGAGAGGAAAAAGAGGCAATGGCTGGAATGGATTGTGCTTGGTTTAAGAGGCAACATTCACCGGGCATGCCTGTAATTCCAGCACTTTGGGAGGCAGAGGCAAGAGGATTGTCTGAGCCCAGGGGTTCAAACCAGCCTGGACAACTTGGCAAGACCTTGTCTCTACAATGAACCAAAAAATTGCTGGGTGTGGTGGTGTACGCCTGTAGTTCCAGCTACTTAGAAGGCTGAGGTGGAAGACTGCCTTAGCCCAGCAGGTCAAGTCTACAGTAGCCGTGACCATGTCACTGTTACTCCAGCCTGGGCGACAGAGTGAGACTCCAACTCAAAAAAAAAAAGAGGCAACAATCGAAAGTAGGCGGTATGAAATGAAACCAGATTGGTAACAAGGCAAGTGGGGATTCATTTAGGGAGGGTCCTGGAGACCACTTGTACAGACTGGCATTTTCTGGTGAGTGAGGAAATCACCAGGGTGTCTCGAGCAGAGGAATGATAAGATGTAACATATTTTAAAAGTAAAATTACTTCAAAAGAAATCTGTTAAGATAAGAAGGCTGGAGGCAGTCGAGGCTGAAGCGAGAGAGCTGAAAAACAGCCGCAAAAATATAAGTGGGAAATGATGGTGGCTTCTGCAAAGGAGTAACAGTGCTTGTGGGGAAAACCAGTGCAATTCTGGATCCATTTTGAAGGTAGTACAGACAGCAAGAAAGGAATCAAAGAACACACAAAGGTTTGGTATCTAATCAATTAAAACAAGAGTCCTTGTTTGCTGAGATGGAGAGGAGGAGGAAATTTGGAAGTGGGCAGCAGTTGGAACATAGAGATTTTGACATGCTAAGGCTGAGAAACCAATCAGCTACCTTCTAGAAATGTGTTTTTACTACAATAGCAATTAGCTTTTAAAAATTTATTTCCTCAGTTATACTAGCCACATTTAAGTACTCAGTAGCTACTGCACTGGGCAACACAGATCTAAAATGTTTCTATCCTTGGAGAAAGTTCTACTGAGCAGTACTGTCCTAGAAGCTAAGTTTTACTGTGTATCTACTTTAATTTAGGCAAAGCCATGGTATAAGAAATATAAACGGCCAGGCTTGGTGACTCAGCCTGTAATCCCAGCACTTTGGGAGGCCGAGGTGAGTGGACTGCCTGAGTTTGTGGGTTCAAGACCCACCCGGGCAACTTGGCGAGACCTCATCTCTACAATAAATAAAAAACTAGCCGGGTGTGGTAGTGCACACCTGTAGTTCTGGCAACTTGGAAGGCTGAGGCGGAAGGATCGCTGGAGCCCAGCAGGTTGAGGCTGCGGTGGCCGGGAGTGTGCCACTGCACTCCAGTCTGGGTGACAGAGTAAGACTCCAACTCAAAAAAAAAAAAAGAAATATAAGCAAGCAAGACTCCTTCTTTGATGGGACTTCCAGAGAAGAAAAACAGATGATAACACATACTAAAACTAGAGTTTAGTATAAAATGTGTGTGTTTGAAAACTGACTTTGTTGGGGCAAACTACATGAAACAGTTTCTTGCAAAGAGTCCATGCTGCCTGGGGCCTTAGCCCCAATCAATTTGTTTCTATTGCTTTCTCTGGTTGAAGGAGATGGAGGAAACAATCACAAGAAGCAGGAAGAGAGCAAAATCTGAATCGTTGGCACATTAAATGGCACCAGGTATCAAAGTATTGTGGATCAGAAACCCTGCTCCTCAGACTCCTTGATTTCTTCCTCCTCCTTTTCCCCTCTCTAATCTTTTGTTAGCTGGACTTTATTTTTGTGTTAAGCTCTAAGCTATCTGAGGGCAGAAATGCATCCTTTTCACAGTTTTAGTTTTGAGATATTGTGAAAGCATATGTATATAGTAGGGAAACCTATTAATAACTTGAGACATGATCTGCCGAAGGCTTTCTGTTTCACTTACAGATTTGAGAAGCAGTCTGAATTCTGAAATAACGGCATTTTGGGGCTAGGTATAGGACAAACAAGGTAGAATATTTAAATTGGGAATGCTTTAGAAAGCCTAGAACATAAATGGTGACAGTGCACGCTGAATGGGCAAGTTAACCACTTCATGCCAATAAAACATTTAAATCATGGTTGCACTTTTATTCTGTCTGTCATAATTTGAGATTGTCATATATCTATCACCTAAACATAATTTGTCAAGGTAGTCAAAGATTAGAGTAGAAAGGATTTCTTCCTATAGTGTTAGATACATTCAACATCTTTTATTAAATTATATTGTCTTAGCTCTTTTCTAATTTGGCTTGACTGATGAGTAGTGTTAAGACTGAAAATGTTAGCTGCCATATATATATCTGCAGATTGCCAACTTGTGTACATATTTTCAAAGTAAATCATCTTGACAGTGTCTGTGGTTCCCTAAAAATAATTTTAACTATCCAGAAAAACTCAATACTCTCTAATCAAGAATATATATTTTGTATGTATATAGCTTAGGTAGGGAGATAGATAAGATAGGTAAGAGATAGATAGATAGATAGATAGATAGGAAGAGAATCAGGAAAAGATGTGGAATTAAACCCAAGAAACCAGTCTACAAGTTGCTTCACAAACACCTGTGGTTTGTTCGTCAGTTCATTCTCTACGAATAGTATAGCTACATGTTTACCATGTTAAGCCATGGAAACTCTGGTGCTTTTTTTCAGAGTAGCAACTTTCCCTTATTAATAAGCCCTCATATCATAAACCAGGATCCACAGTGTGCCTAGTTGCTAGTTGAGTCATCTCTCAGATGAATTCTGAATTTAATGAAGTATTTGTGATACAGAAAAAGAACTGTTTGGCCAAGTTTGAAGAAATATCATAAAACCTCTGTATTCAAGTTGTCAACTTTTCAAAATAGCTCTTAGATTGAGTTATTGAGAAAGCAAAAATAGAAGGATAGATTCAGTTAAAACTTCTTTTGAGTTTACTGACAAACATTTTATTTAGTTCAAATAGATAAACAAATTCCTAATACATCTGGACATTTGCCCCCTTGAAATTATATGTAAAAAATGTGGTTACGATATAGACAGATGCAACTTACACCACTACTCAACTACTCTGACTTTTGTAAAAACTATTCTTTTTTTTTAAGCACTGCCCATGGCTTAATCTCCAAATATAACAAAGAAAGCCAGGTTTGACTGTTGATAATCATAGTCTTCACTAAAAAAAAAAGTTGTTTATTTTAATTCAAATAAACTATGTGAGGTTCTTAATGGGGCAATTATTAATAAGTTGGTAGAACATAATATGAAAAATTAAATGTCTTAATTTTCTCTCTTTAATAATTAAAGTATACAAATATAATATTAGCCCCAAATGCAAAAAAATTTCATTAAATGTGAAAGTCTAGGATTTTCAGCATTTCTTCAACATATTTGTGTGCCACAGCATTTAAGGAAAAGATCAAAGACATCAATATTAAAAGAAAGTTTCTACCTTTGTATAGGGCATTGCCACCTTCCAACAGTGCATCTATCACATAGCAGGTGGTACCAGCATCTCTACCAAATACTAAGGTACCTTGGTAACAGTATGACTCATTTCAATCCTGAGCTAATTGGCATGTTTCCAATGTAAACTATCAGGACATAAACTTTTAATAAGGAGCTCAAAGACAAAGAGGCACTGATTACCTAGCTTGGTGCTGGACATAGTTTCCTCTTAATATATGTTTGCTAAATGATGAATTTAAGATGCAAATATAAGCTTTAATCCACATTACTGGTTTTGCTGATGCAGGTATTTACACCCTCACCATGTTTCAGAAGGATTTAAGGCAACTAATAAACATGCGAAACTATGATGACGATAAGCTTAAAATAAATTAGAAAAAAGATAAAACAGGGTAGGAGAATAAGATGGCATGAAGAGCTGTGCTTCACATCTTCACTGCATAATAAGATTTTAAAAGTTCACATTATTTTTCAATAATGAATAATGTGATTTAGTCTGTTGTATTCTCTTTTTTAAACATGTTCAGAAATAAGCAATAAGTAGGATTTTTAATGAGGGATTCTGGGAACTAAGAATCTAAGTTTTGGCTCAAGAAAACATCTTCAGTTCCAGAAATCACTCTTTCAGCTAAACAACAGGAAAGGAAAAGGCAGTGCAAATGCTAGACCCATAGCTGGTAAAATCTACGGGGGCTCAGAGAACAAGCATCATCAGTTTTACCTAAACACAGGCAAATGGCAATAAGTAAAACTGCGTTGGCCAGGCTAGGCGGTTCAGCCTGTCATCCCAGCACTTTGTGAGGCCGAGACAAGTGGACTGGCTGAGCCCATGGGTTCAAAACCAACCAGGGCAACTTGGCAAGACCTCATCTCTACAATAAATTTAAAAAAAACTAGCTGGACATGGTAGCACATGCCTGTAGTTCCAGCTACTTGGAATGCTGAGGTGGAAGGACTGCCAGAGTTCAGTAGGTAGATGCTGGGGTGGCCGTGAGCATGCTACCTCTCTCCTGCCTAGATAACGAAGTGAGACTTCAACTCAAAACAAACAAACAAAATGGTGTCTGTGAGACTTATTACTGAAATAGAAGAAAAAATCTGTTAGAGACCTATATTTAAAACACAAACCACACCACCATAACCACTACCATCACCACCAACAACAAAAGGAAGCATATGGTACTCTCAGACACCCACAGAATTAACTTACCTATTGCTTGAGCTAAGGCTATGACAACCTCCTGGCAAGTTGTGACTTCGGTGACCCCACAAACAATCCTCTGAACTCCATCCACCCATACTTTAAGTTCCATGGTGCACTGGCCAGTCACTCAAGGGCCCTGAGAGTGGTCATCGGGGTGCTAGGTCATGCCTCTGGCTGCAGGAACACGGAGAAGGCAGTCTGTGCAGTCAGCTAAAACAGCAAAAAATCATTTTTTAATAAAGCGATTCTTAACATTTCTTCTAATAAATATGAAAATATTACATATAACAAAATGAATGTTAACATATCATAACCCTACTGTTACTTGTTTTATAGAAATTCAGCAGCACAAATATGACTATAGCTATCTATTATGACACTGTTTCCTGTTATTACTATTTTTATAATAATGATGTTAACAGTTAAGTCATGCTCCACTAGGTTAAAAATTCTTATTTACATGACCAAGCCTGTTGCTCAATACATAAGCTGCTTTTCTGTCCTTTTTTCTTTTTGGATCCTTTCATTAGGGTCATTTCTGAGGTTTGTTTTATTTTTAAGTTGTCATCATCTTGCCAGTATTAACAATTTTTAAAAACAGTTTTCAAGGTATGTTACTCAGTTTGCATTCCTTTGTTTAATATGTCCCCTGCCTCTATCTTGCCCACAGGACTGACAGTGTCACCTTCACCACTGAATCATGGACACCAATCACAACATGAGGACGGGTATACAAAAGATCTTAGCTGAAGGAAACGAATTCCTTTGATGGCTGACAATTCCATGTAATAACTGATTGCTTGTCCTTTTCTCATTTAGCTCAGCTTGATAGTTTTCTTAAACTCTAAGAGTTACTCAAATACAATAAACCTTAACCCTTTGTTATACTTGCTGTGTTTACCCAAGTAAACACAGCTTAATTTATTTGGTTGCATTTTTGCCAAGCTTAATTTATTTGGTTGCATTTTATGCCAAACAGAAATCCTTATAATCTCATACAGTCAAATCAAATGCTTTAATTTCTTCTATTGATTAGAATGTTATTAGCCTGCTAAAAATCAGTTACACACACTTCTTTTTCCTTTGGGTGTTAAAAAATCTTAACTCTTCCTGTGTTACATCTCTACTCAATCTATGACTTATTTTGTGTGCCCGTTGTTTTGTTTGTTTGTTTCAAAAGAATGTTAAAATTTATGAGATATAATAAACATTGATTTTGCTAAGAGAAGATTTGGATTTGTTTAAAGATTTACAATGACCCTGCTGTTTCAGGATTAATGATTTTTTCTAAAGCTTATTTAAAATAAACAGTAAAAAGCTTTTCTGGTAAAATAGTATTTACTACTAACAGGGGCTTAGCCCCTTTCACATTCTCTTAAAGGACCTAAGACAGATCTAGGTCACCTGGGTAGATGAGTCGGAACACATGTGAGGTGAAGGAGAATAAACCTAATTACTTTCTCCAGAGAAGGTACAAAATCCTTTTTGTTGTCCTGAAAACAAGACAGGACTGACTGAACATTAATTTCCCAACATGGTGCTTCAGCTCTCTGCCTATGATGCAGCGTCAAAGAGGTTTCTTAAACCCCCTATATAAGCAGAGAAAGGGCTACCTTTCCAATGACAAGATGATTCCCATAACTGTTCCTGTTATGAGGATCTGTGAGATGTTAAAGTATCTGGGAGAAAAGGGTTCCAAAGTCAAAGAAATGTAAGAAAACTGATAAAGTTAAACAGGTTCCCTTATAGCTGGACTTCTGAGACTGTAATACTGGAGTGTATTCTAAATCTTAAATAAGACTTTTACAATACTGTCAATCAATCTAGAGAACATTTAAGAAAAGGACAGCAGAGTTCTGACTTAGACTTGCTTCCTTTTCTCCTAGGCATGCAATTTACTAAAAATAGAAGACATTTTAGTATTTTGGGGGATAAAATTAAAGTATCAATTAAGTTATCAAAATGATCAAATAATAATTTCCCTGTTAAATTTTTATGAAAGCTGAATTAAAATCTAATAAAGTTTCTTACTGTTCATAAAAAGATCTTAAACTTGGGAAACCAACCAAGAAAAGGTACAATTTCATTAAAAGCTCCACTTCCCCCAAAGGCACCTGTCACTTAAAGAAATCCTGAGATTCTTTTTTTTTCTTCTTCAAACTGTGGAGGAACACGTAACATGAGTTCTATCCTCTTTACAAATTTTTAAGCACATGTTATAGTATTGTTAATTCCAGATACAATGTTGTACAGCAGATCTCTAGAGCTTATTTTATAGCTCTGAAACTTTATACCCTTTGAACAGCAACTGCCTATTTCCCCCAGTAACTTCCATTCTATTCTATGAAATGACTATTTTAAGTGTCTCGTGTAAGTCCCATATTCCTTTTTAGGTTTTAGGATACTACCATATATTTTCCTATCTGAATTATCATTCTTTCACTTTGAACTCTTAGTCACCAAGTGACTACAAATGAACATAAGGCATCTGTTAAATATTACAGAATACAGTAATCTTGTGAAAAAACACTGAGCATAATAATATTGCCCAGTAATATAAACTTGCAGGGTATTCATCTTCTTGATCGGAGACTGCCCACCAAGGCTCATCACACAGAGAAGACCAGCATCTGTATTTCGGTTTTAACACAACTATTATCTTTCAGACTTGAAATCGTAAGGAGGCTAGGTAATGCCTTAATGGATCAGATCGATGGACCATTCTGCCCTAATTTTTATCTTTAAGGGCCACTGCTTTTAGAAAAACATGGCTTCCTTCAGGTCTTGGGTTACAGGTCTTGGGTTATACCGACAATCATCCCTAGTTTCCCTAAAACTTGAGGCATTAATTGTGAAGTCATCTGAAGAGCCTGTGCCTCCACCTTGCCAGCAGAATTCCCCAGCAGTCCCCTCTCAGAGTTGTCACCCTGATCTCTTCATACCCTCCAGAGTCTGCTGTAACAGCTCTAAGCCCAGTCCCAGAATTAGACCAGAGGGAAAAAATGAAAGTCCTACACTGTAGGTGCGTTTGGTGGATCAGTTATCATTGGGCCTAAAGACCTGGCAAGCAAAAGGACTCAGGCATTCCAGCTGGAATTTGGAATAAACTTTTCCATAGCAACAGTGATGTTGACAGAAGTGAGGTTCTACTGCAAGGCTATTAATATAGTTCAGTCATTGTTTTCATTAAGAAGCTTCTATAAAGCCAGGCTCGGTGGCTCAGCCTGTAATCCCACGCCTTTGGGAGGCTGAGGTGAGTGGATTGCCTGAGCCCGCGGGTTCGAGACCCGCCTGGGCAGCGAGACCTCATCTCTACAATAAATCAAAAAATCAGCCGGGCGTGGTAGCGCATGCCTGTAATTCTGGCTACTTGGAAGGCTGAGGCGGAAGGATCGCCAGAGCCCAGCAGGTCGAGGCTGCGGTGGCCGGGAGCGGCCACTGCACTCCAGTCTGGGCGACAGAGTGAGACTCCAACTCAAAAAAAAAAAAAAAAGAAGAAGCTTCTATATTCAAGACACTAGTATTTAATAATTTTTTATAATAAAGAGTGAGGTTTCTTCAGTAACATGCTACCAGGGAACAAAACAAAATTTTTTTAGCTAAGAACCATTTACTGTCATAAAGCCTGCTGAAATTAAGCATCTGCATTAGTGGAAACATACTCAAGATCAATGCCTTAATAAAGCAATTACAGTCAATCCTTATTATCTGCAGATTCTATATTTGCAAAACTACCTACTTGCTAAAAATTTATTTGTAATCTCCAAAATCAATACTTACAGTGCTTTCATGATTATTTGTAGATATTTAGAGTAGTGAAAAATTTGAGCTGCCTGACACATGTGCCCAACTGAGATTGAACAAGGTGACATTCTGTCTTCTTGTTTCAGTTCTCATACTGTCATGCGTCCTTTTCTCAGTCTGTTTAATGCCATATGTTTTGCACTTTTGTTGGTGATTCCACTGTTTAAAACACCCTCAAGCAGAGTGCTCAAGTATTTCCTAGTGTTTCTGAGATAAGAAGGCTGTGAAGTGACTCATGGAGCAAAGTATGCATTAGATAAGCTATGTTTAGGCATGAACTATAGCACTGTTGGCAGTGAATTCAATGTTAATGAACCAACAATGTATATGAAATAAGATGTCTTTAAACAGAAAAAAAGCACATGAAATAAAGTTATGGATTGATGGGTTAACAAGAATATTGTGACCAGAGGTTTTAAGAAAACTAATCCTGAATTTCCCCTTAGAACAAGGTTCAGTATTCACTCATTCAGTGTTCACAATGATCTTACAGAATATAACTACTGTGAATAATGAGAGTTAACTGTATCTTTTTCATTATTCTTTTTAAAATCCATTTGCTTGTTTTGTCTTGCTTTTTTGTGACAGAGTCTCACTCATTATGTTGCCAGGGCTGGTTTCAAACACCTAGGCACAAGCTATCCTCTAGCCTTGGCCTCCCAAAATGCTAGGATTACAGGCGTGAGTCACCATGTCCAGCTGACTATCTTTTTAAAAGAGTATGACTTTCTTGTGATGGCAACCATAAAACTGTTAAGAAAATTCCATTACTCCTTGAACACTAAAAGTAGGTTGGGTTTTGGCCAATTATACTTGAGGAGGGAATTAAATGAAGTCATTTAATAGAACAACTGTTACCGATAAAGCACTATATATTTTATTTTATTTTTCTATCACCCAGATTGCAGTGCAGTGGCCATGATCACAGTTCAGCTTCTCAGCTACTTGGGAAGTTTCTGCCTCAGCTTCCCTAGTAGCTGGGACTACAGACTTGTACTGCCACAACCAGCTAATTCTTTTTTTCTTTAGAGATGAGGTTTTGTTATGTTGTCCAGGCTGGTCTCAAACTCCTGAGCTCATGCAATTCTCCTGCCTCAGCCTCCCAAAGTGGTAGAATTATAAGCATGAGTCACTGTGCCTGACCTAGATTTTTTAATGTCAAAGGATCACTGAGGTAAGGAAAAAAATTGTCAGTGAGTGCCTGTTGCCTGTGGAGATGGAAAGAACGAAGATGAAAATCAACCTGGAGAACATGATAAGATGAAGCATAGTGCAAGAGAATGAAGAGAAGAGAATAAAATAATAAGAGAAAAAATATTAGGAAGGCAGGCAGGAAGTAAGGAAACAATGTGGTACATACTACCAGGTAATAGTTTTTGGAAAACTGACTCAGATGCCTGTCACAGGTTACCTGCTCCTGAATTTCAGTATTCAGGTGATGCCATGTTTATATACTCTGGGTTTTCCATTTTGGAAACCCAGTTTCCATAAGTTGCTTTCGGCAAACCAATTATTTTGTTATAATGTGGTTCCACAAATGGTATCACAGAGAGCGAGTGGTCATAAAAAGATACAATGTCAGAACTGGGTGCTAAGGAAGAGGACTCACACAATATGAACATAGGGCTTCCACAAAGAAGCTCTTAGAACAAGAGTCCTGTGAGACGTACCATGGGGACACAAGGGTCCACGGTTGAACAATTTGGGGAAACACTTTACACTACATTGCATCTGGTAGGTAAGCAATGCACAGCAAGATGAAAGTTTTGGAGACATTGGTTAAAACTTTAACTTACTAATAATTTTTAGTAGATGCTGTTTCGTTCCTGTCTATTGGTTTTAACATAATGGGTACAAAAAGGGACAGGGAGGAATAAATAGATCATTGTAAAACGTTTAATTGTAAAAGAAAACATAATGTAAGCATTTGTGGGCACATATGTGAGGGGGTTGGAGGGTTGAAAATGCCCTATATAAGCATGTGAAGATTGAATAAAATTTGGAAGAGTCCTGAACTCAAAAAAACAAACAAACAAAAAAACCCTTTAACTTACTCAGTGATTTTAGTATGGGGGGTGTGTGTGTGAGAAGTAACATAATGTCTTTAAAAAAAAAATCCCCCTGAACTACAGGATACAAATTATCAACTTTTGGAAACTATGCCTAAATACAAAATGAAAAACATCTGCCAGCCCCTGCATGCATGTTGAGGCACCTACAAGTGGAAATGGATTCACTATCTAAAGTTTTACTTGTAGGGACCAAATGGACCACATGAGAACATTTAATGGATCCTAGCTTTTCTTTCTCTTACGGGAAAAGTTTTTATTGCCACCATTAGTCCATCTCTTCTAAAGTTTCATATTCTGCCTTTTGGAGATCTGTCTAACTCTTATGATTTCTTCTTTGATCACATGCTTTTAAAAGTTTACAATTCTAAGCATCTGTGCATATTCATTATTGAATTGAATATACCCATGCTCTTTCCTCTACTATTCTTCATCCTCAGGTGATTGACTGCATTCAAACACACTCTATGTTTTAACATTTCTCAAAGATTTCATGCTCAAGTGACCATACTGCAATTCTGGCAATTAATGGCACATGTATTTACTATATGCTAGGAAATTTTTACCATGTCTCACTCATTCCTTACAACATAATTCAAGCTAGACAGCATTAGTCTCATTTTAAACATGAAAAAAGTGAGTCTCAGAGAGCCTGAATAACTAACTTGTCAAAAGTCACAAATTCAGTAATTTGGGGACACATATTCACAATTTGGTTGAATACAGAAACTAAAGAATAAAAAGGCCATGATTCTCCAAGATTCACTGTACCCAAATAAATGTTTTTAAAATACTCTCAATTGCCCTAAGAAGTTTCATCTTTAATCACCTGGAAGTTTCTATCAATAAACAACAGACAATATGTACAAACTTGTCATTCCAAAAGAAAAAGAAAAAAGGTAAGAAAATGCTGTTTTAGTTCAAAGACTCTATGATAAACACACATGCCAGCAAAATGAGTGCCTGATGCTCAGGTTCATTTTTCAGGATCAACAAATTATTCCTTGAGTTTGGGTAAATCATATTTGGCCTTATTTCTACAAAGTCTTAAGTAAAATA